GGTGGCAGGGAACCACATACTTGAGTCACCATCAAGTGCTTCCTGGGGTGTACATGGGGAGTGAAAGCTGGGACTTGAACCCAGGTACTTGAATTGTGGATGTTCCAAGCAGTAGCTTAACAAGTGTGCCAAATGCCTGCTGTGTCCCAGCTGTTTAAAACCAATAAAAATATTGCATTGTTGGGAAGATTTACCAACGTGTCACTGGAAAAAGTGGTACTGACATTTGCTGCTGTTTCTTTCTCCTTGCATTTTTTGTCCCCCTTAAATGAAAACTCACAGCAAAACAAAGTCTCTGGCTGGGCTATGAGGCGCACTATTCATTTACCCCTGGCCTGATTAGTCAGAACGTCTTTCAAAAGATTAGTTTTCAATTTGCACCACCGCCAGAGAGAGAGAGGCCTCCAAATTAATGGCTGCATCGATTGTTTATATCTGAGAAGTACATTAAAAAATTTCAGCAACTCTCAAAGAAATGCTGATCTTCTGAAAAGATTTAATTTTTTTTTTTTAATGAGCACTTTGGAAACTTGCCAAAAGTGTGTTTAAAACTCTGCTTGCCAGTTTGGCTGTGTAAAGGCTTTCAGTGGTTAGAGTTCTACCATGTCTTGGTGCACAAACTTCTACCTTGGATTCTGGGATCCTTGGGCCCATCAGTGGAGATCTCAGTAGAACTGTGATTGTGTTTAGAAGCCTGGCTTTCCCTCAATAAGAAGTACTGGGCCCAGTCCCTTGCCCAAGCACCCTTGCTGGGTGGTTTCCCCTCTGTGTCTCTGTTTTTGGAAGCTATGCTAAAAATCCGAGAGAAAGGGTTTCCACAAAGCATTGGTCTCTTTGGTTGGCACAGCTGAGATGGGAATTTGTGCAAAGCTTTTGTTGAGGTAGTTTCTCTTTGGTCTCTGCCAATGATGTCCTGGTGCTGTGTCTCGCATAGAGGGAGGTAACAACAGATGAGATGGTGCTGGTCTCACCCTACATGTACTCTACAGAGCAATATGCATTTTCAGTAGGGTAAGGAGCACGTGGGAATAGCTTGCTTGCATCACCTCAGTCTCCCATCTGAAACTGGCTGATCCAGTGATGGAATGGCTGATGCGTGAGGAACATGCACAAAAGCACAGCTCACTGAGAATTAATAAAGATCAGTGCTTAGGGATGAGAGGTAGAATCACTTTGTTCTATGTTTTTATTGAGGTTTTATGATTATGGATTATGCCATGGGAAATAATGCTTTATTAGATACTAAAGTAGTTTACAATGAAGTGATACTGGTTGCTTATTTTCGCCATTCCAATTTTTTTTCCTAAACCTTCTTTTGTGTGTCTGCACCTGGATGTCATATTGCCTCTCAAGGGTTCAAATGCATCTTTGTAAAGACTTTGACCAAGGTCAGCATCTGAAAGAGGCATGAGACTCAATGATACCTCAATCCTATGAGGTCTGAAGATGGTCAGAGAGAGCTTATGGAGCTATAAACTGGTGAAGCCGGGGTCGGAGTGAGCCCCTGGGACTTGGTGTCAGCATGTGGAGCCCAGCACATACGCCTGTATTACTGGACTAGGACCAGTTGCTTCACACAACCACAAAGCGAAGGACCAGACACCGTGCAGTGGGAGCTGCAGTCATCACCTACAAAACCCACAGCCACTAACACTGATGGCACGCTCTCTATGAATTTCAACAGGGCGCATCCCATTCTCTCCCTGCCCAAAACCATGGAACTGGCTTTTCACAATTGATGTTATTCCTACAACTACTGATTTGACCTTGCAACATTAATACTCATAGGGACTTGCTCTCTTCCTTCCAAACACAACAGAAAATTCTGATACTTGTCGCACCAAAGTCTTTTATTAGCTACACCAATTTGATTGATCTGCTGTTATAATCTGCTGGATTCTACACAGAAGTCACCTTCCATTTTGGTTCATCACTTAGCTTTGGGGTTTGTTCTCCCCTTTATCTAATACGTCCTGTACTTCATTGGATGGTGTGGCTCAGGTCCTTTCAAAATCTCAAAAACAGAGGCCGGCATTGTGGTATAATGTGTTAAGCCTCTGCTTGCAATGCCGGCATCCCATATAGGGGCCGGTTCAAGTCTTGGCTGCTCCACTTCTGATCCAGCTCCCTGCTGATGCATCTGGGGAAGCAGTGGAAGATAGCCCATGTCCTTGCACCCCTGCATCCATGTGGGAAACTGGAATGAAGATTCTGGCTCCTGGCTTTGACCTGGCCCAGCCCTGGCTGTTTCAACCATTTGTAGAGTGAACCAGGGGAATGGAAGGTCTCTCTATATCTTTCTCTCTCTCTCCCTCTCTCTGTAACTCTGCCTTTCAAATATATTAAATAAACATCTTAGAAAAATATTTCTTTTTTTTTTTTTTTGGACAGGCAGAGTGGACAGTGAGAGAGAGAGAGAGACAGAGAGAAAGGTCTTCCTTTGCCATTGGTTCACCCTCCAATGGCCGCCGTGGCCGGCGCGCTGCGGCCGGTGCACCACACTGATCCAATGGCAGGAGCCAGGTACTTCTCCTGGTCTCCCATGGGGTGCAGGGCCCAAGTACTCGGGCCATCCTCCACTGCACTCCCTGGCCACAGCAGAGAGCTGGCCTGGAAGAGGGGCAACCAGGACAGAATCCAGTGCCCCGACCGGGACTAGAACCCAGTGTGCCGGCGCCACAAGGTGGAGGATTAGCCTAGTGAGCCATGGCGCCGGCCAGAAAAATATTTCAAGAACAAACTCTCATGTGAAGCCTTCCTGGAATCATTGATTCCATAGCTCAAGTCAGAAACCATAGTCCCTGGTTCACTTTCCTGGAAAACACAGTCTAAAAATAATGTGATTTGATTTGATGAACAAATCCTGTTTTACTCAAAGTCCTTAATCAATACGTGAGTTGCACAGAAGTCCATCAAGCTGGGTTAGGGGTGAAGGAGGGGGTTACATGAGCAGTTTGCCTTTACAGAAAGAGCGCTTCCTTGCCAGCTCTGTCTAGAATTACCGGTGCATGGTAATGATAAAAAGTTGACCAACTTGGAGTTGGTTTTAATATTGCCTTTAAATCCTTCATAGCAACTCCCTTATTAAATGCCACCACCGGCAGACCACTCTCACCTCATCCACTCTGGCACATTACAGTTCTCATCAGACCACCAACGACCAAATGCTGTTCGCAAATAAAGCAGTTCTGGAAGATACTTCTCACCGCACTACATATTTCGCCTGACACAGTCAAAGATTTCAAAGATTATAGGAACAACAGCCAACCATTCTGTGTGCTCAATTAATTGAAGGTATTTTTATGTGGCCTTAAAATTGTAAAAGGCACTTGCATTGGTCTTCATGCCCTAGCATGTTCCTTCTGTGTTAACACAAATGAGCCAGACATGAACCACTTTTCTAACAGTCTGTATAATTTTCTACTTCTTAATTTCTTAGGTTTGTCTTTGCTATATGCAGCTGAATCTCTTTTAAGAGTTCCCCTCATTTGAGTAAAACTATTAACTATTTACAACCAATCACCAAGTCATGTGAAAATACCCTTCTTTCTTTGGGGCTTTCCTGTGACACAAGGCTCCCTGCATACAAAGTCATGTCCAATAACTTGCTATGTTTTCTCTCGAAACACTGTCAAGAACTCTCTCAATGTCCTTATCCCCAGTATTCTTGTTAGGGAAGTATGAAGAACTTGAAAGCATGTGTGGAGATGGGTGTATGGGAGGGCTCTGCAGCCAGACCTAGAATCATACCCGCATTCGTATTCACACTCATTGCTAGAGCGTGGTTACATGCCACATCCAGCAGCCAGGGAGGCAGCCACATGTCAACAGGCAGAAGAGGCAACGCATGTGAGAGACCAGCTGGCGGTCTCTTCTGTGCCTCAAGGTGCTAAGAGGCCAGATGCGCTGAGTCTTGTTACTGCTGAAAACCTTGTGCTCGATTCAGCATCACATACACTGTACATTCTTAGTGAGCACTGACGGTATAGTGTATATTTTAGGAACAATACAGGAATATTAAGCCTGAAGTCAACATGGAAGACTTCAAGCAAGTCTTATCTTATCTAGATGGGCCCACCTGCTGAAAACCTGAGAGCCAGTACATCCCATGCAAGCTGATGACTTTCATTTTGTCCAGATTTCTAAATGAAGATCGATTCATTGCAATTCATGCAAAAACTGTTGCACTTTCTGTTAAATTTCTAAATCATCAGTTTATACAAACATATGCATATATATTTGATTACAGAAGTGATTTGCATGCATATGAACAGAAAAAAATTAATGATTTGTATGGTTTTCAGAGACCAGAGAGAGGACAGGTAAACACACTTATAATGAGCAGAGTTTAATTCAAGATCATAATACAAACAACTCTAATAAAAGGGAGCAAATATTCTGTTTTGAACCTCCCTTGAAGGTCCTTAGTATTGCATGACACCCAGCAAACCTAGCAACCAGTTTATAAGCCCTCAGGAATCAATCACTGCTAGGCAGTAGCACATTGTATTCTAATTCCAAGCATTTCTCCTTATCCCAGAATGCAACACCACTGTAGACGCTCGGGAGATGTGCTTAATTCTTTCAGGTACAATATGAGAACAGTGATGACTAATGGGCTGCATTCTCAAGATCACAAGAGAACAACTGTATATTAACAAGCAAAAAACCATAATTATCCCCAAATAATAGGCACTAGTGGACCAGGATACAGCAGAGATTGCGCCTGCACCAGAGAAACTGATGCACTCATTGCCCCTGCATGCTTAGACAATGATGAAGTGACAGGACCATTTTATTCGGACAGTTGTGCTTTCCCCCTTGATGATGGACAGCTGATGTTGTATGAAGGGTTATATATTTGTCCTGCTACATCAAATCACGTTTAAACTGGGTATTTCTGAACCATTTAACCTGATTCTACAGAATAAAATCTCTGTAATGGACAAGCACTGAAAACCAAGGCAATGAATGAATGATCACAATGGCCGTAAACTTACTGTCAGAAGCGGTGCGGATTCTCTTCAAAGGCAGTCTGAGTTGATTGTGTCTCCTCTATGGTCATGGCGTCTCGATCGCCGAATTCGTGCTTACTGATGCTGGCAACCACTTATTGGACATGAATTAATTTAATACCTATAAATGGGGGGAATATAAGGCAAGAAGTGAGCAGTACTCAGACTCATAGCCTAGTTGGTAGCTCCAAGTAACAATGTGAAGTCAGTGGTTCTCAAACTTTAGGGAACAACAGAATCACCTGCATGGTTTCTTAACACACCAGTGGCCAGGCTCTCTTCCCCGAGTGTCTAATTCTGAGAATTGGAGTCCGAGAAGCTGCAGTGCTAACAAGCTCTAACAGCGTCAGGTGGTGCCGATGCAGTCGGCTGAGGGGCCACCCTTTTACAAATGCTTTTAAACGAATAATCAAAACTCCAGCTGAAGATCACCTATTTGCCCGGATATACAGAATAATTTATTTTTGCACTAAAAAGGTTGAAAATGTTACCCAAAACATGCAGTTTCATGTTGGTCCCTGTCATATCTACATCTCTTTAAAATATCGTTCCCCCTTTCGCCATCTGACAAAATGAGCCAAAAGCAACCCTACCCCTTCCTATGCCCTACACCAAGCCTTACTGGAAGCTATACCAAAATAATCAGTCTTCAGAATCTTTTTCAAGTCTCATTATATTTAGGAGGAGAAATACAAGTTTTCTCTCTAGCACTATGTCCTCATCGAGTGTACAGGAAACCCAACAGTTTGCCATTTATCCCAGTTTAAGTCACAGGAATGAGATCATCAGCCTTTTCTCTTGCATCTTTTCAATTTCCTTTTTTGTTTTTTTTGACAGGCAGAGTGGACAGTGAGAGAGAGAGAGAGAAAGGTCTTCCTTTTGCCGTTGGTTCACCCTCCAATGGCCGCCGCGGCCGGCATGCTGCGGCCGGCACACCACGCTGATCCGAAGGCAGGAGCCAGGTGCTTCTCCTGGTCTCCCATGGGGTGCAGGGCCCAAGCACTTGGGCCATCCTCCACTGCACTCCCTAGCCACAGCAGAGAGCTGGCCTGGAAGAGGGGCAACCAGGACAGAATCCGGCGCCCCGACCGGGACTAGAACCTGGTGTGCCGGCGCTGCAAGGCGGAGGATTAGCCTAGTGAGCCGCGGCACCGGCCAGCAATTTCCTTCTCATCTTGGTCTAATACCAGTAGGCAGTGGGCACGCTGACCTCCAATGACTACCAAACCCAAATGTGAAGCTGTGGTTATGTGCTGGAAGGCTCCTACAGAAGTCTCTCTGGGGTGAAACTTGGCTGCAGTTGTGTTTTGTTCGGCTGGCACAATGTTTCAGTAAGAACTGCATTCAAGGGCCCTTAACAGCCGATTCCATTCATTTACAAGACTTGTACCTCATAAACCCTCTCCTTTAACAAACAGAAAAACCAAGACTCCAGTCAACAAAGTGCCAGAGCAGGACAACAACGCACGGCCCAAGGATGGGTCTTTATACTTTTTTTCTCACTGCTTCTACCACCTTTGGGCCCTCTCATGGTGTCCACGTAGACATGGACGTGACTAACCGTATCAACTTTCTCTTTGTGTCATCATAAGGATACAAACATCACAGTCATGCACATTAGCCCTCGGGTGTGATCCATACCTTCTCCTCACGGCACCTTCCTCTGCAGGGTTCTGAAACATGCTGAGACACTCCCTCCCATGTTTAGGTTTGTGCAGGAGAAAAATGTTATGTAAACAAGTCCAAGGTAAAAAAAATTAACTTGAGATTTAGCACTGGAGTCAGAAATAGGAATATGATAGGCTTTTCCGGAAGGCCTTCTTTAAAAACAAAACAAGGGGCCAGCGCTGTGGCCTACGAGGCTAAGCCTCCACCTGCGGCAGCGGCTTCCCATATGGACGCCGGTTCCCGTCCCCGCTGCTCTGCTTCTGATCCAGCTCTCTACTTGTGGTCTGAGGAAGCAGAGGAAGACGGCCCAAGTGCGTGGATCCCTGCACCCAAGTGGGAGACCCGGAAGAAGCTCCTGGCTCCTGGCTTCTGATTGGCCCAGCTCAGCCGTGTGGCCATCTGGGAAGTGAACCAGTGAATGGAAGACCTTTCTGTCCCTCTCCCTCTTTCTGTCTGGAACTCTAACTCTCCAATCAATAAATAATAAAATTTTAAAAGAGATGTCAAATAAAAGCCACGGCACACTCTGGGTCCTCTACTCATTGTAGAATGTAATACGAGCCGGCGCCGCGGCTCACTGGGCTAATCCTCCGCCTTGCGGCGCCGGCACACCGGGTTCTAGTCCCGGTTGGGGCGCCGGATTCTGTCCCGGTTGCCCCTCTTCCAGGCCAGCTCTCTGCTGTGGCCAGGGAGTGCAGTGGAGGATGGCCCAAGTGCTTGGGCCTTGCACCCCATGGGAGACCAGGAAAAGCACCTGGCTCCTGGCTCCTGCCATCGGATCAGCGCGGTGCGCCGGCCGCAGCGCGCCGGCCATGGCGGCCATTGGAGGGTGAACCAACGGCAAAGGAAGACCTTTCTCTCTGTCTCTCTCACTGCCCACTCTGCCTGTCAAAAAAAAATATGTAATACGAGAGTCACAGGGGCCAAAGTTTCTCATGGCCCTCCTTAAAGTCACTGCCTCTGCGATTCCCCAAATCCCTGTCATCAGCACGTGAACATTCACCTGCTCCAATCTGACTTCCTTGTTCTAACACTTAACTGCCTAGCAACAGAACCAAAAGCAATGTTTCCCCCAAATGAAGCCTACGTAACAATCATCTGGAGGCCTCACTGCTGGTACAGCATCACTGACCCCAGCTGCAAGGATTTCTGGACGCTGTTAGTTAATCAGCACCTGTAGGTGATTTCTGATGCTAGTGATACCTCAGAAACACTTGGATTTATTTCTTATGCTTTAGAGCAGTGCTTCTCAAAGTTCGTGCGTGTGTCTGCACATCTTTGATAAAATGTGGATTCTGCTTGCGTAGCTATGGGGTGAGGTCTGAGATTCTTCAGAATTCCTGGAATATTCTTGGCCATGAGCTGCTCCTTGAGTAACCAGCATGATGTGCCAGTCAGCCTTCGTAGGCCAAAATTTGGCTGTGTATTTCACGGATTGTGAGTCTGGACAAATGACTTCACCTACTCAAAAGGCTTCCATAGCCTTGGAAACTCATGACTGGAGCATAGGGAGATTACTGATGCCATAAACAAGAGTGTCAATTTGTTAAGTCAACAACAGGAGTCACTGTGCACTTACTCCTCTCTGCCCTTAATGTGCTGTACATTTTTGATTTAATGCTATAACTAGTACTCAAACAGTATTTTTCACTTTGTGTTTCTATGTGGGTGCAAACTGTTGAAATCTTTACTTATTGTATACTAAACTGATCTTCTGTATATAAAGAAAATTGAAAATGAATCTTGATAAGAATGGAAGGGGAGAGAGAGCGGGAAAGGGGAGGGTTGCGGGTGGGAGGGAAGTCATTGGGGGGGGAGCCAATGTAATCCATAAGCTGTACTTTGGAAATCTATATTCATTAAATAAAAGTTAAAAAAAAAAATGACCTCACCTGTCAGTGCCTTCAATGTGGCACACGTAAATGGCGACTTTGGTAGGAAGAGGGGAGAGAATACCAACTTTTCGAGTTGTGTCCCATGCTGACACATTATCAACTCCTTAAAGAAAAATCACATCTTTCTTGATAAACGAAACTATGGAACTTCCTCCTTCAAACATCTACAATCACAGGCTCCCTCAGATTCAGTAAAACCACTTCTGCTCTAGGTTGGCTGAGAGGGACTAGCAGGCTGCACGCAAGCATCATAGCCAAGGATGGTGAGCCGGGGAGCAATGTTCAGCACGCTCTGCCTCCTGGCTCCACCTCCCTGACCGGGGTGAGGTTGAAGGGACACATATGCCCACCTCAGCCTCCGTAAAGAGGAGAGAGGCTGTGAAAGCTAAGCCACAGCCAAGCTCAGTCTCACCTTCTCATTTCTAACCCATGATTCCTCTACCTCAGTGTACTGAAGAATCTTTGGGGAAAATTTTAAAGCATGTAAACAGGTAGTCCCCACTTTGCTAGATAGTTCTGATATGACCACTGGAGACCTTTATTTTTTAAAATGGCAAAGTCAGGTAATTCTGAAACAGGTGCTTTATTCCATAAGAAGGCTTTTTTTTTTTTTTTTTTTTGACAGGCAGAGTGGACAGTGAGAGAGAGAGACAGAGAGAAAGGTCCTCCTTTGCCGTTGGTTCACCCTCCAATGGCCGCCGCGGCCAGCGCACTGCGGCCGGCTCACCGTGCTGATCTGATGGCAGGAGCCAGGTACCTATCCTGGTCTCCCATGGGGTGCAGGACCCAAGCACCTGGGCCATCCTCCACTGCACTCCCTGGCCACAGCAGAGAGCTGGCCTGGAAGAGGGGCAACCGGGACAGAATCCGGCGCCCCAACTGGGACTAGAACCCGGTGTGCCGGCACCGTAAGGCGGAGGATTAGCCTAGTGAGCCGCGGCGCCGGCCCATAAGAAGGCTTTCTAAAGAGTTTGAAAGGAATGAGGCTTAGCCAGCATGCTAATGCAGCAGGAACAGCTGCCCAGACTTCAGTGTGAGATGACCAACTTGCGTTCTTTCTAATGACCTCAGTAGAAGCCACCCTTTCCTGAGTGAGCACGGCTCTGTTGACACTATCACAGTCCTCAGCAAGCAGAACGAAATCAGGGCTCTGGGAGCACCTTGCCCCATATTTTCCGTGGGTTAGGGTCGAAGGTGGGACCCCAGCATGGAGTGGGTCTGAGTCTACTGTGTTCTAACGCAGAGCTGGTTAAGCTGCAGCACCCTCTGAGCCCTCTGGAAAGCTGGGTAAAGCAGATTGCTGGGCCCCATCCCCTGAGTTTCTGATTCTGTGGGTCTGGGGTGGCCCCTGAGAACTCGCATTTCTAGCAAGTACCCAAGTGATGCTGATGCCATTTGAGAACAGCAGTCTGAGAGTCAGCTGTTGAGTCTTCTTTTGGGAACTGGATGCTGTGTCTCTGTAGCAGTCCTAGCCACTCCCACAGGACAGTTTAGAAAAGCATTCTTTTTGGGGGCTGGTGCTGTGGCATAGCGGGTAGAGCCGCCGTCTGCAGTGCCGGCATCCCATATGGGCGCCAGATCGAGTTATGGCTGCTGCACTTCCGATCCAGCTCTCTGCTATGGCCTGGGAAGGCAGGACGGCCCAAGTGCTTGGGTTCCTGCACCCATGTGGGAGACCCAGAAGAAGCTCCTGGCTCCTGGCTTTGGATTGGCACAGCTCCGGCCGTTGCAGCCATCTGGGGAGTGAATCAGCAGATGGAAGACCTCTCTCTGCCTCTCCTCTCACTGTGTAACTCTGACTTTCAAATAAATAAATAAATCTTTAAAAAAGCATTCTTTTTCTTTCAGTTGTTGCTTAGACAATAAGTACATGACAAATGGCTAGTGAAATTGCTGTTAAGTCAGTTAAGGGTCTTCAGGTGTTACTTCTTTGGCATTTGAAGTTGTTTTTTTTAAATTTTATTTATTTATTTGAGAGGTAGAGTTACAGAGAGAGACAGAGAGACAGAGACAGAGAGAAAGGTCTTCCATCCCCTGTTGCACTCCCCAAATGGCCGCAAGGGCCTGCCATCTTCTCCAGGCAGAAAGAACACTTCTGCCTTCATCTGTTATAACAATGCTGAACTGTTGTACTGTGCCTCTACTCCAACTAAGCAATAGTTAGCAAAATGCCTCAGTTCTGTCTAACCAGATGCCAAGGAAATGACCCAGCCCCTCTGCCTTCTTCTTCATACGGCTTGGTGTTAGAATTCCAACTAGGGCTGGATTTCAGGTCCCCTATGGTGATAGCTCTGTGACTGTCTTGCAGGACTCTGAGGTTTACTGAGACCAGGAGCTTTGTCATCCACCCCAGGCAGCGGACAGCCTGCTGCTAAGGAGGGTCTATTCCAGCCACAGCTTGCCTGCTTCTTCCCCAGGACTTGCAGGGTGGCCTGCTGGGCTATTCTGCGTGAGCAGAAAGAACATCAGCGAGGGTCAAAGGAGCAGGATGGCCGTGTGAAGTCTCGAAAGGGTGTGATGGCAGTTCTCTCAGCAAAACGAAGTGGGCAACCTTGGAGTTAACCGTCCCTGGTGGCTTCAACTGTTCTCTCCTGGTACATTGGGTACATTCTGCAGATCTCCATTCCCAGCCACAATGATCTGAGGCCTCTTCTTCTGCAGGGTTCAAATTACAGTTTGATTGGAGGCATCTCATAATAGCACTTCAACTGGCCTTCTGGGTGAGTTGCTTTCCTCTCACAGTCCTCAAGCCAGGAGCATGAAAAACATTGCTGGTCTCTCAGAAAGCCTTCCTTTGCTCCCTTAGGACTGGGTGGTTGGTGCTGGAGCTCAAGCCCTGGGAGAGAAATACACTGTACCAGGTAACCAAAGCAGTGTGGCTTGACCACTATGAAATTAGTGTTCTCAGCTGCCAGACATATTTAGAGCCCTGTACTGGACAGGATGATAGAAAAAGATAGAATGGGATATCATCCTCCAAAGTGTCACATACGTTTAGAACCTCAGAAAGTGCGAGTGGGCTCTGAGCCCTATTATGCGCCTAACTTCATTTCTTTCTCATCAGTGGGAGACTGTGGAGCAGGCATGCAGGCTTCCATCTTTGACAACAGTGCAGGTCCTTGCTCTGCCACTCACTAATGAGGTTTCCCAAGATCCCTGATTTTCCAGGTAGGTTTTGTAATATAGATTGGTTCTGAGTGTAAAACAATTGTGCATTAAGCTCTTAGCACAGGAATGCACAGTGACACTCAATAAGTTGTAGTTATTTTCACCATGTAGCCATTACAGAAACACAATGAAGGTTCCTGATCCTTTTTCCCCAGAATATGCATTTTGAATATGATTTCAGAGTTCATGGCTTTCCTGGATTCCCACCGGAGACACTGGAGCCTCTGGGTTCCAGATCTTTTTGGTACAAACTGTGTTCCACACATACTGTCATCGGTTCACCATCAAGGGAATTGGGTGTGGCTGTGTATTTCTCCCTCTATCCTCACATGATGTGTTAGTGGGCTTTCACATGTATTTTTTATGATGAGTTGAAGGTGAACTCCTATGTAGCCACCTGGCCCTTGCAGATCTAGCCACATTCATTCACCCCAGTTCCCAATGACATGGCCTGCAAAATGCAAAGCTTTTCCTATGAATCCCTGTGGCTGGCCCTTATCTTTCTCCGTGGTTTCTCCCTGGTCCTTGTGGGTGTGCTCTGTGACACCCTCTACATAGCACTCAGATCCGGTACTGGTTTTTGCAAGAAATCTGCATTGAATATCTTGTGATGGACTTGGTGAAGGGCCACATTGTGAAACAGAGTGCTTCCCTGTCTTGATGGCCCCCTTCCCCCCTCTCTCTCTCTCTCTGGCACAGTAACAGGATTTCTCCCTTTGCCTCTGACGATGTCTGGGAACCCTCACCCTGGGTCTGTAGAATACTTTAAAGCCCCTTGGAGATCAGCAGATCCTGGGATGGGCTCACTCTGATATTCCCTTCTCTGCCTAAAGATGAGAAATGCCAAAAAAGGAAACACTTGTCTCTGTCCCCTCCCTGTGTTTTCATGAACTAACCTCATGTTGGGGAAGGAAGACCGAGGAATGTCACCACAGCTGCACAGACTCTGCCACAAGCTGTTGTCTGTCT